TCTGGGCAGACAGTTTTGGGGTTATAAACCGCTGGAAATAAAGTCTCTTCTCTCATGGAACTTAAGCTTAGCAGGAAAGGTGAACTTGTCAACAGCTACCTTTAATGCAAGTCATCCTAAGACCCAAATAAGATGGATAAACATGACAAGCTAGAGGAAGCTATAAAACAGGGCTGGGAAGAAAGTTAAATTGCAGAGGCCCATGAAAACCATAAGGAATTTGGTCTTTAATATGTAGATTCATCATTAAAATCTACATATATACATTTCTTATAAATTCATTTACATGGGTGGTTTTCTAATTTTTTTAAATCAATAATAAACCCATATCTCCTACTCTAAATCCCTGCCACTGGCAATCACAGATCTGTACTCTGTATCTAAGAGTTCGTGTTTTAGATTCTACATATAAGTGAAATCATATACTATTTGTTCTTATCTGACTTATTTCATTTAGCATAATGCTCTTGAAGTCTTGAAGTTGTGTTGTGACATATGGCAGGATTTCCTTCATTTTTATGGCTGAAAAACATTCCTCTGTGTGTGTATGTATGTGTCTTACATTTGTTTTACCCATTCATCCATCAATGGACATTTAGGTTGTTTCCATGTCTTGGCTAATGTAAATAATGCTGCAATGAACAGAGGGGTGCAGACATACCATTATACATGATGATTTCACTTCCTTTGGATGAATACCCAGAAGTGGATTTGCTGGATCATACAGTGGATCTATGTTTAATTTTTTTAAAAACCTCTATACCAGTTTCTGAAGTGGTGGCACCAATTTATATTCCCAGCTACTCTTTCTATTCTTAATTAAATGATCTCAATAAATGACAGAAAAATTGATCTATTTGCCTAAATCACTCAAATGATGAGCTAGTTCACTGGTTTACTTTGCCCTGTGAGTTCTGGATTAAAATTTATAATACTGAGGGAAGACTGGAATGTGCAGAGAATGGGTAGCCATTAACTATTCATGTTTTCATTATCCAGGGAAGGTCTGATTTCTACTACAGCTCTCTTTGTGAACCCAACTTCAATGAAGAGGGGAAATCCATGAGAAACTATGGAGAGATGCACATGGAGGAGCCCATGTAGAGAGAAAGTTAGGCCCTTGGCCCTCAGCTCCTGTGAATGCCAACAGCCAGCACAGGCTGCAAGGCATGTGAGTGAGCCATTTGGGAAGCAAATCCTCCAGCCCTGAGTTGAATGCCCTAAGTGGGCCAGAAGTGAGCTTCCCTCCCTGAGCCTTGTCCAAATTCTACCCAGATTCAGGCTAATAAAAACTGTTATTATTTTTAAGCCAAGAAGTTCAAGGGTGGTTTGTTATTAAGAACAGTTAACTGGAACACCTTCCACGAAAAATTCATGACAGTAACACCTTTTTGCCTTGATTCCTTTATTCTTTAGACATCAAGGTTTTAGAAACCCCAATTATTCAGATTTTAGAAACTTAACTCAGGAGTTTAGAGGAATGCATTTCCATTTCTCTATAGAGTTTCAAAGGGAGAAGGCAATTCAAAACTTAAGAAAATTTTCTTTACATGCAAAATTTCTAAAATATTAATTTTAAAATGATGCACTCCTATTTCTAAAAAGGGTTAGACTAAAAACACCAATAAATGGTATTTGTCTCTATAACATTTGCATCTTTAACATTTGTAATATATATAGACAAGTTTTTACAAAATCTCCACCTCTGACCCAAAAGGGCTACTACTGTATCTATGAAGGTCATTTAATCTCATGATCCTTCAAGGCTGGGCTTTCTTCTCTAATTCACTAATCAAACATTACAAATATAGCTTCTGATACCTCCTCTCTCCTCTTCTTTTTTATTGGTTGTCAAGACAAGGCAAGGCAGCAACCAATCAGCTCTTTATATTAAACAGTGTATTTTGCTGAGCTGGACTTGACTCCTGGTTGCTACAAAACAAATCTAAGTTTATATCAGAGGTGACAAACTCCATACCCTGTCATTTATCCTTTTTATAGCATGGGTGACACCAGTAGTCAGCAAGTCTTGTTGATGACTATGTGAATCAACTAAAGCAGAAAACATCTAAGTCTACAGATTTCCTGTGTCAATTATCAGAAGTTTTTAAAAAACATAAAGTAAACTAAATTAAAAACAAATTACACTGCTATTGATTACTATACAAATTTTAAAAAAGAAATCCTTAATCTCCGTACTAACAGCCATAAACACTGTTAATACTGGAATGTATATTTCTCTAGACGTGAGTCTAAATACATACCTATGTGACGAAAATGCACTGTACCATGAACTCATCCTTATACATTTAATGATTGCCAAAAAACCCAAAACATATTGAGATTTTATTATATACTAGGCACTGTTCTAAGTGCTTCATAAATACTATTTCATTTAAAGCACAAAAATACTATGAGACAAATAACATTACCCAATTATACAGCTGAGGTCTTGGAGGTCTAGATCACAGGTAGCACATAGAAATGTCTGACTCCAAACCTAGATCTGTCAACTAGTAATTTTTACTATTCTCTCATCTTGTACACCTGAATTTTTAAACTAAAATTACAACCATCATTCATGACAATATTTGCCTATTCACTTACAACAACAGTTTAATGTCTGACTAGTACTTACAGTTTTTCAAAATCTTTCACCATTCCTCTCGTTAGACATTTGAGTTTGATTTTGTTTTTTTCAATTTTCTAACAGTATAAACAGCACTGCAATAAATATCCTTGTAGGTCAATCTTGTTTGTACATATTTGATTATTTCCTGAGTCTAGAAGTTAAGTTGTTGGGACAATGGTGTGCAAAAATTTTATGTTTTTAATAGTAATGCCAAATTTCCCTTCAGAGAAATTACACCAAATTACCTACCTACCATTCATATGTACCTATGTCTGGGTCCTAAAATCTCATTTAAAAAACCAAACCAAAACAAAATAAATAAACAAAACTTCAAACCACAACCTCCCTAATCACTGTCTCATCTTAGAAATAGGAGTTATCTTAAGAGTTATCTTTTCTAATCTCCTGAACATTATAGACCTTTTCATAGTGCATCTCTGATCTAGGTTACTCATTCTGTATAATCTGTAGAAAGTTCTGGGGACAGAAAAAAATTTTTAAATAATTTTAAATAGCCCAAACTATTTTTAAACTCTCAGCAATAAAATACTCTCCAAATGATTGTAAAATTCACCGAGAATAAGAGAATGTCACTGGAAATGGGGAAACTTTGGCCAGTTTTTAACGAAGCTGACACAGGTCACAAAATGATAAAGATTTTTTTGGTCATTTTCCACCTTGAATGGGTTTGCTCCAGGTGTTGGCAGCTCAGTACTTGTCCTTTATTCTAGGCAGGTGAGCAACAGCTTGGCTTCCTTTGCCTTTGGAAATTCAGCAAACAGAGGTGGGATGGTCAGTGGAAAAAGATTGCTTAGAAACAAACATAAATGAGACAGTTTCACATTTCTAGGTCAAAGGGGCTGTGAGTATAATTATATGCATCCTCTCCCCGCCTCAAGTTCTTAAAAATTTCATCACCAAGTCCCTTTAATTCTAGAGACACTGGGATTTAACTGGGTGTAAAGCAGGAAATGACCTTCAACTGGTTAAGCTTCCCTTGAATGCCCATTAGATACAAAAAAATGCTGAATGTTGCAATGGAAACCAAAAAAGAAAGAAGGTAATACTCACAGGTGAGTGAAACAATAGAAGTCTACTTTAAAAAAATCTATAGATATGTAAATTTTGCAAGTGATTGAGAACTACAACTAAGACAGTGAAGACAAAAGAAAGATTAATTCTGCCTGGGGTTAGGGATGAAGTGTGGAGTTGGAAAAGGCTATAAAAAATGAAGGTATTTATAATGGCTGGGATGGACAATTCCTTTGGCCCAAATTGATTTTTTTTTTTTTTGGTGCATATTTGATAAATAAATTAAATCATGAAATAAGAACATTACTAAAACTAATAATTTGCTTTAATCTAAAAACACACACTTTCTTAAAAGGGGCATATAGACTCTATTTCAGCTCCACATTTCCAGTTATCCCTGGAAGGTGAGGAAAATTTGAATCCTTCTTATACCTTCTGCTCTGGTAAACTGGACTGGTTGGGGTTATGGAACAGGGGTCATGACTCAATTCCAAAACTTTGGGCTTCAAGACCTGCAGGGGATCATTCTGAGATCCGACCAAGGAATCTTCAGAGGGGCTATCTCACCATATTCATCTCCCCCCATCCCTCCAAATAGCCTAGTACAGTACTTGGCACCCAGTAGGCAATCATTTGTCAAATGGATTTTAAGCATTCTCCTTTTTCCCTGTTAGAGGACAATCAACCCATCACCACGCTTTGCTTCTCTGCCAGCTTAATTTAGCTCTGATCTCAGTAGTTAGGAAAGCAAGAGAAAGAATGGGGCCATAGCATCCTGAGAGTGAAGCTATGCGAGAGAGTGTGAGGAAGGCAGGCGAGGGCTGCAGGGGGTGCTAAACACTCCCACCTCAGCTCCTCAGCTCCGGCGGCAGACGCTCAGCCCCCGCCCTCTCTCTATTTCGGACCCGCACCCGGGAGGTGAGAGGGCAGCGCTGGCGAGGTGGTGGTAGGGCTGTACCATATTCGTTAGTCCCTGCTGCTTTTTCCAGTCCCCAGCCTTCTCGCCCCTCCTTCCTCCTCCCCAGCCCAGGTTTGGAAGCGATTCCCCTCTAGCGATTGAGCCGATTGCATCTGGGTGAGAGGCGCTTCGCCTCCCTCACGTCTTTGTCTCCTCCTCCTGCGAGGCTCCCGGGCCCGGCGCAGGGTTTGCAGCGGCCGCCGCAGCAGCTGGAGCCAAGCCGTGCCCTGCACGGGCGCCTGGGGCCGCACCCGCTCCGGGTGAAGGTGCTGGAGGACGCCAGCCGAGCCACTCACTGCCCGCCCGCATCCCGCGCTCCAGCCGCCGCGCACCAACCCAGCGGGCGCAGCGGGGGAACCAGCCAGCCCAGCCCGACCGGTCTGGGGCGGGCAGCCCGGCTAGCAGCCGCGTGCGGATAGCGGCGCTGCAGCTCTGGCAGCGCGCACACCCCCAGGCACACGTACCTAACGCCTCCTCCCTGCGCCACCAGGATGGAGCAGCCATCCCAGCCCGGGACTGGCGCAAGGTAAGGTGCGGCCGCCTGTTGCTTTTCGCAAAGCGCGGTATCATCCCTTTGTCCAGGTGCCTAGGTCGTTCCTGCGGGAACAAGTAGAGGAGAACTATAACACTACTTCTGAGCCAGGTCCAAACCCCCTGCTCCCCTTAGCGCAGACCCTTAGAGACAGCCCTCCTGGCCAGGGGGAGTCGACCCTCTTTGCTCGCGTGCAGCCAGCTGCCACGCAATAGTCTGCAAACTTTTGTGCACCCCCGCCCCCTCCGCGCGGTACTCACCCCGTGCCGTGCAAGTTGCAGGTCTAGTTTCTATGTGCGCCCTTCCCCCAGTTCCCCTCCCTTGCCGAATACATCTGCCCATTTCTGTGTTCTTGTCAGTCGACTTTTCACTCCCTGCAGCTCCCGCTAGAGAGGCGAGGGTTTGGGACTCAGCAGTACTCATCCTGCCTGTAGGGGCAGTTTAGGAGCCGAGATGGTGGAATAGGAGAGGTGGGGAGTGGGAAAAGGCTGCGGCCACCCCCGGGGTTCTGTCCAGCGCAGCGGAAGTCGGTGCATCCTTGCGTTTGCCACCCCCAACTAGGTAATGAAACCTTTGGAGGGGCTTGCGGCTTTGCGCCCTGCGAAAGCCAAGTGCAGATCCGGGTGGGTGAAGTAAGTGGTTTTGGGAGGGAAAAGGTTGCTTGCGGGTAGAGAAGGAAGCTGAGTGTCGAGGATACATCTAATTGAGGGGGGACCAAAAGGCTCTGCTAATGCGGGCGAGGGGCCAGTCCCGAACAGATATCTGATAGGGAGGAAAAGGGATTGGAGTCCGGAGGGTGCTGGCCGGGTGTGTAAATACAGATGGGGGAGGGGCTGGGCACCTGGGGAGGCTTGGGGAGGCTCAGAGAGACGAAATGGAGCCCTGGAATCCTGGGGCCCCGGGGACCTTGGGAAGGCAGGCTTCTGGGTGACTGGGATGGGGCTATCTCCCTCTCCTGGAGAAACAAACCTCCCGGCGAGATTCTGAATTGCGTTGGTGTCTTGGGCGGTGACTGAGTGGTTTAGATCATGGACCAGGGATGCTTTTCCTGGATCTATAAGGACCTAAGTCCCTCTCCTTTCCTTGGCACCGGCTTCTACACCCTTCCATCTCCTCAGCCAGGTCTGCAGACCCACGCCCACCTTCCCTGAGAGGTGCTCTGGAGTTAAGGGCGCCTCCGTCGCTGCAGGGTGGGAACGGGATTCCTGGCCCTCGGGGGAGACAAGTGTGCGGAGTACGGGGAGACTCCCCAGCGCAGAGACAGTAGACAGGGGTCCTAACTGTTGGAGGAGAGCACAGGGGTGAAGGCTGCACTGGGAGCCCCCGCCCCCGCGTCTCTCCGCAAATCGCACCTGGGCGGAGCAAAGGAGTGGGGGAGTCCGCGTGCTGCGCTGGGGGAGGCTCAGGGGCGCAGAGCTGCAGGGAGTGAGGAGTGAAGCGGTGTGGGCACTGGGTGAGGGAAGACCCCGCAGATCCGGGGCCCCGTGCGGAGGTGGGCTGTTCAGTTTGCAGCCCCAAGGTAGATCCTTCGGGTTGTTCCAGATGCTTTGGTCGATGCAGGAAGCGAAGTCTCTTTTCTCCTTTGCACCCCAGCAGTCTGAGATGGAAGAGCATTTGCGGGAGGGGGCTTAGGCCGCTGTGGCAAAGAGAGAGGGGCAGCCCCCGAGGCCCCATTTATCCTGGTGGGGCACATACTGACTGGGCTGCCCAAGGCCTGGATGCACCTCATTTAACCCTTCTCTCTTTGAGTGGGTGCACGCCCATCTACTAGCGGTTCCTTTGGCTTAGAGTTCGGTTCTCATTTCCTACTCAACCTATAAGAGAAGAATTTGGAGGTTGCGTGGATCTGGAGACGTGTAAAACCCTCTGGTGCTCCCTGTTCGAACCTCCCACGTGCAGGTTTTTAGGGGCACGGCTGGCTCTGCAGTTGCCCTGTAGACGCCTTCTGCCCTCCCGCACCAACTGGGAGAAAGCACCGCTCAACGTAGTCCCCTCTTTTGGACCCCATTCCTGGGCTAGACCCTCCGGGAAGAGATTTCGACTTGCAAGGGCTCTGGGGAGGAGTCCCGAGGTCGGTCCTCCCATCCCCATCCCGGGGCACCCCCGGAGCAGCGGTTCCCTGTCGCCCAGCGGCAAGCCCCAAGGAGCGGGAACGGGGATTCCCTCGGCTCTGGCTCCAGGAGGTGCTCCCGAGTACGAAGGCCACACCCTCGCAGGCCAGGCGTCGGGGAGAGAGCGTTGGCTTCTTCTGAATTACCTGGATACCTGAGGTAGGACCCCAGAATTAAGTCCCTCCCTCGGCAAGATTTAGCTTCTGATGCCCCAGGGTCCATTTCTTCTTCTTCTTCTTTTTTTTTCCCTGGATGCTTATCACCCGGATTTGAGCGCAGGCCACTTCCCTTTGCACGTAGAAACAGGTTGGAGCCTGTCCTCTGAGAACTCTTGAAGGAAGAAGAATTCAAATCCATACCAAGGTTGTTTTTCTGTTTGTTTGTTTTTGTATTGTTTTTGTTTTCAGGTTGCGAAACTATGCTGGGGAGACAGGTACTAATATTAATAACCAGCGCTAGCATTTATTGAGCCTTTACTCTGTGCCAGGCATCATTCTAGATGTTGTATGTGCACTGTTGTAGTTTGAATACTCGCAACCCGGGAAGATAATTAAAGTTATTTTTCCCATTTTAGTGGTGAGGAAACTAAGTGGTGGAGAAATTATTTGCTTGCAGTCAGCCAGCCAGTAAGTGGTGGGGCAGGTTTCTCTCATGAGTAGAGAACATTGGGTGTGTCCCACACTCCCTGCCTATTTGGTCCTAAAGACCCTTTGCCCACAAGGAATTGTGGGTGAGGCCTCCCCAGTGGCAAGACTGGGTCAGCCCATGCCCATGCACCCCTGAAGCTGGGGCTCCAGAGAGACTGATGGTACATCTCACTTCCCCCAGAGTCTGTTGGGTTGCCTCTTGGCAGGATGGGATCCTGGTACTGGAAGCGGATTTAGGGACTCGACTGCTGACACTGGACATCTTTTCTGAACCTTTGGGTAGACATTGCCTTTTGAAATGTGAGGAAAAATGGAAGGAGGGATCCATACATGAGCAGAGATTTGCTCTGTGGTCACAAACCACAGACACCATATTGTGCAAATGAATCACTTTTGAGTGATGGAATCACAGACTGTTGTAGCTAAAGGGATCTCAGATATCACCCCTCTCACTCCAGGGGTAGGGAGGAGACTGAGTGATGGGCAGGGCCACTCAGTGTGTCCCTAGAGTAACTAGTGTTGGAACCACGTCTTCTGACCCTGGTCAAAATAAGCTGTGTTTGTGCACAAATATATTATGCTCACTGCTGCTGTTTCTCGGCATCTTAAAATCAATTAGGGAAAGTTAATTAACTAGCGAAAAACCATTTGTTAAAAATAGATCATTTTGTTAATTTTTCATAAGTGCCTCAATTAGCATAACCAGAAAAAGTCACCATCATATAATGGATAAACCACCACAAATTGCCTGTTTTGCAAGAGATTGCAGTAAAATGTTTATCTTTCCAATCAACAAAAATTGACTAACTATACCACCTTTTTAAGATGATTCTAAGTAAAAATTAATGGATTCTCAACCATTTTAGCAAAGTTCTTCTTTCAAGTTGTGGAAGTCTGTCCTACCCCACTCCCAATTATTGTTGAAAATAAGAGAAAACGGTACTTCAAAGGGAAAAATCCTTTTGAATCCAATGAAATGATTTGTTATTATTTCCTCTGGATTTCTGACCCTTGGGTTAAACTTTAGGCTTAAGTAAATCAGGCAAAACGTACTTGGGGCTCAGAAAGAGGAAAAATAGTTCTTTGCCACTTTCTCACCCACTGAGCCCCTTCATAAAGGGGACCTTCTCCAGGAACTCAGGGTTCCCACATACCCCTACGCATTCCTGTAGGACAGAAATGTGGTTTCTAAGAATATCCCGTGCCTTTCCCCTGTAGCTGCATTACCAAGATATCCTCCCCCTGGAGACAAAACAACAGTCCGCTGGAGGAGACAGAGCGGGGAACGGGAAAAGCCTGTGTCTCAGTATCCCATGGTGGGGGGTGGGGAAGAATTACAGGCAGATAGTGGAAACCTGGTGCATTGATGTCACCTGGAACAGGATTTTCACCCCTGGTGCTGTGACAAGCAGGACAGAGGCCCTCCAGCAGTGAGTAGGGGTGGGGGAGGAAAGGTGGGGGTGAAGAGATAGCCCTGGCCAGGAGCCATGGTCAGGGAGGTGGGGCTTGGCTAACGAGGGCTTTGGTGTGACTGCAATGGCTGTGGAGAGCCTGAGCTCAGGGCCACTCTTCGCCCTTTCCCTCCTTTCCACCGCCTCAGTCTGCCGTCTGGTTTGAGTTGGCTGATCTGCCTTCCGGCATGCTCAGATACCTCAAGGAAAGCACACTTTGTGCAGCATTCATTAGAAATGAACGTTGTTTTTGCGTAAGTAGGGGGAATATGCACAGCTGTCCCACTCCTCAGGAAGAACCAGTGAACACCAGATCATCCCAGAAGCGTAACTCTCTGAAGGTGGGGATATTGATTTAGTTGGATTATCATGGTGTTAGACAAAAAAAGGTGCATTATTGAAATCGGGTAAGACAAAATCTAAACAAAATGGTCTGTCTTTTTAGGAATCACAGCAAGAGAAGCTTTTTGCACATGGGCGTGCATCCTTGTCCTCAATTCCTAGCTTTTCCAGAGGTCATAGGGGAGTTAGCTGTAGCCTCCTCTTATTTACAAGGTCCACATCCCCTCTGATTATTTTACTCCTGTGTATAGTGTTAAATGGCCCATGCAATTCTTTGAGTGTACATTTATCTTAAATCATATATACATATATATTCATATATATATTCATAGATGAAGTAACAATTACTGTTAAGCAACATGATCTGTGAAAAAGATGATAAAAATACTTCTTTTATTCAAAACACAATGAATAAATATGTTTATGCAATATATAGTATGAAT